AAAATTGGTTTATGGGTACAGGGTCACAGTCAGGAAGGATAAGAAGTTCTGATGTGTTATTGTGCAGAAAAGTGATTATAGTTAACAATATTTTAAGGTATATTTCAAAATCACTAGAAGAGAGGGTTTTGAATGTTCTCTCCACAAAGAAATGGATGTTTGAGGTAATGAAAATGCTAAATCCCTGATTTGATGATTACACAATGCATATATGTATCAAAATATCTCACTATATCCCATCAATATTTATAATTATTATGTGTCAACTAAAAAAACAATAAAGGAGTAATTTTTTTTTTTTTTTTTTGAGACAGAGCTTTGCTCTTGTTGCCCAGGCTGGAGAACAATGGTGCAATCTCAGCTCACTGCAACCTCTGCCTCCCAGGTTCAAGCGATTCTCCTGCCTCGGCCTCCTAAGTAGCTGGGATTACAGGCATGGGCCACCAGGCCCAGCTAATTTTCTGTATTTTTAGTAGCGGTGGGGTTTCACCATGTTGGCCAGGCTGGTCTTGAACTCCCGGCCTCAGGTGATCCACCAGCCTCGGCCTCCCAAATTGCTAGGATTACAGGCATGAGTCACCGTGCCCAGCCAGGAGTAACAATTTTTAAGAACGTAAAAATACTACTGAAAATTCTAATTAACACACATTGAAAAACACCATTCAAAATAGGAATAAAAAGAACACACAAAATACACAAAACACATGCAAATATACAAAATTATACAGGAAACAAAAACCCAAATAAAGCAAACATGCAAAACAATAACAAAAAAAAAGAAGAAGAACACACACAATACAAAACCCCCCAAAACATAAAAACAAATACACTAAAATATAACTTAAATTCCAAACAAAACAGAGAACAAAGTTCAAAGTTCAAAGGAAATCTAGCACGTATCAGGGATAGACGATGCTGCACTGAGAAATGCTGCGAGTGCAGGAAGTAGAGGAGTGGACACTGAGAAGTAAACAGATGTGGTATCATAATAAACAATGATAGAAAACAAAGTAGAACAGTTTCCCACCTCTTCACTACAGCCTGTATTTCTTCATGGCTTTGGGTGAAGTGAGGTATTTGGCCACTTCGAAAACAAAATCCATACACATCGGTTGCCAACTAGACACCAAGACATGATTTGAAAGAGCTTTCCTGGGAGATAATGCAGCAGCAGATTGTCAAATTCTATCCCATCCTCTGATATGGACATGTAACATTTACACCTTGCTTCCCAGGTCATGCTTCCTGTGGGCTCCGGGAATGTGATTCTCCCTCCCCCTCTAATTTCTCCTCCCCTCCCTCCCCTTCCTCCCCTTCTCCTCTTTCCCCTTTTCCACCCTCTCCCTTCTCCCCTTTCTCTCCTTCCCCTCCCCTCTCTTTCTCCTTCTGCCCCTCCATACAGATATTTTTATATCAAGGTTCATAGCTGCTTTATTTCTAGTAGCCATAGCCAAAATAGATACAAACTGGAGACACATGGTCATTAGCAGGTGAATGCATTTAAAAAACCTGGAATATCCATACAGTGGACTACTACTCATCCATAAAAACAAACTAACTATTGATGCAAATAACAATGTGGACAAATTTCAAAATAATTATGCTGGGGGGAAATAAGCTAGGCCAAAATAAACAGTATATACAGTATGATTTCGTTTTAATAAAAATGTTGTCCAGGCACCATGGCTCATGCCTGTAATCCCAGCACTTTGGGAGGCTGACACAAGAGGATCACTTGAGGTCAGGAGTTCGAGACCAGCCTGGCCAACATGGTGAAATCTTGTCTCTACTAAGAATACAAAAAATTAACTCAGCATGGTGGTGCGCACTTGTAGTCCCAGATACTCGGGAGGCTGAGGTAGGAGAATTGCTTGAACCTGGGTTGCAGAGTTTACAGTGAGCCAAAATCGCACCACTACACTCCAGCCTGAGTGAGAGAGAGAGAGACTCCATCATCTCAAAAAATAAGAATCTGGAAAATAAAATCTAATCCATAGTGCATAAAAGCAGATTAGTGACTGCATGGCTCTGTGGTTATGTGCAGAGGAGCGAAAATGAAGATCACAAAGGGGCAGGAGGAGTCTTTCAGGGAGGATGTATAATATTCTCTATTTTGATTTAGGTGATGATTTCATGGGTATATAAACAGAATATGTCAAAGCGCGAACTTTGTCAGTCATATCTCAATAATGCTTTTTAAGAACTAAAGCTATCACAATATAAAAATCTCAAAATAACCAACACATACTCATACACGCAATTCAAAGAAAGCCATATAAGCTAAAAAAAAAAAAATTCAACAAATAATGCAAATTATCCCTAACAAAAGAAATTTTAGCCTTATGTACCAACTTCTATAAATGATGATTTTTAGAAAAGCGAATCAGAAAAACAGGGCACAAATAAATAAAAACTAAGTAAACCAATAATATATTTTTAAACCCCTATCAACAATAATCCCAAATTAGAAAAGCTCTATAAACAGGATTCAAATAAATAAATCAATCAACTACAACAAATTCCAAACAGAATTAATACATGAACTTATCAATTAGAAAGCATGCTGCAAATACCAAACCATGTAAGCATACACACAGATACTGAGGCAAAACATTTAAAATCCAAGCAAACTCCCACAACTTACAAAAAAACACATCCCCAATAAAGTGCACGTATATATGAAAGACAAAACTTTCTGAGCCTCACACAAATATTAAAGGTGAAAAAATAACTACAGCAACAAAACAAAAATCATACAAATTTAAATATCCCAAAACACAAGGAAAATGAAGAAACCCACACATATACACACACAAAATAAAACAATAAACACAAACTGAAACTAAAAATACATGGAAAATAACAAAATACTCTTAAAAAGTCAACATCATTCAAAAATAAAACACAATCACAGAAATGCATGCATACACACCCACATCCATCCACCCACCCACCCACTCACATATACACACACAAAAAGTCAAGCTGAAAAGCAAACAGAAATACACTAGGGAATAAAACGAAAATATAGGAAAACAGCAGGAAAGAAACAAACATGTCTAAATACACAAAGGGAACTATAACTAAAACTCCCAAGCACCTCTCAGTACAAATCAAACCAAACACATAAATTAAAACGAAATCAAAACCAAAGAAGAAAACTCAGGTTTGAACCAAAAACTAGTAATTAAATCATGACAGCCCCCACCGCCACCAAAACAGGAATAAAACATTTGCTGAAACCCAAACCACAATTCTAACTTTAAAAACAAAACAAAACAAAAAAAACCCCAAAAAAACAAAACTTCAAGTATGCAAGGAAACAAGCAGAGGTGCCATGAACACTGAAAGGCAAACAATAAAAAATCACACTGTATCCCCAAACTACGTGCGATAATTATATGTCAGTTAAAAATAATACAGGCAAACAAAATAAACCTAAAAATGCAAAAACCAACTTTAAAAAATAAATGCACAGAGACTTTGGAAATGAAAGGACAATTATAAACAAAGTAATATCACAAAAGAAATAAAAACAAAACAAAAACCAGATACCAATATCTGGATAAACAACAATTACTACAGAAAAACAATTTGAAAGATCCCACCAAACTCAACCACAATATGCACATGAACCAATCAACTAACTAAATTAACTCATTTGTAAAAACCAACACACACTTACTCACACCTTCTCAAAAATAAGCACAAATTTGAGAACAATTTGCAATGGTGCCGCCGTCACTGCCCCAGACACACATCTAGTGTGGTGAGACTTTTTACCCAGGAAAATTCTTAGAGCTCATGAAATAGGGAAGAAACCATGAGCAGTAGACACTGGTTGTACACAGGCGATAATGTAGTAGTATTAGTAATAGAAGAGAAGAATACCCTTCCTCTTGGTTACAATCTAAATTTTTGCCGAGATTTGGAATAGGAGTGAGACATGTTACTGACTCAAGATGCCAACAAAATTCCATAAACTTCAACTTGCCCACTCAAGGTGCTTTATGATAATTAATCCGGAAGGGGTCACCAGGATAATTACCCTCCAACCCCACTCCACCTCCATTTTTCCAGCACTGTAGTGTAGACAACCTGCTTCCTAGTCACTGCTCCAATCCTGAAGATGTTCTCCAGGGATCCAGTGCTGGCCATCTTTTGTCTGTGATTGTCAAGACACAATCTTTCTGAAGACCTTAGATTAAGAAGGAACAACTGAAGGAAAGTGGAAGGGAAAAGACAAATATACATGTTATCATTCTCAATAATCTGAGATGAATACCTTCACTTCCTTTTATTCCTTCACATAATTTTAAAAGTAAAATGTTAAATAGAATTCAAAGAAAACTAACAAAACAAATATTCTAGGCAACTTCTTAACCCTTTATAGATATTTTGAAAGGACTGATATACACAGTTTCAATAAATATTTAAATATATATATATATATATTTAACCTACAGATAATTTTGGAAATAATGTATTTTTCCAAGTAAGGAAGAACATACAAACTCTTGAGGAAAGACTTGTCTTCAATCCTGAAAGAGCAAGAGCTTTTTGGTGCAGAGGGATGCTTCCAAGGCAGGAGGGAATTTGAAGAGCCCACTGGGAAATGAAAAGGCTTGGAAGCTAAAAGAAATGTTGTGAGGAAAAAATAGGTTGGAGGTTTTTCGAGGCAAAATGAATACTTGGGTGCTGTAGCAGTAGAAGCTCTGAATATACAAAGAGGAAAAGCCACATCCTCACTACAAATTGTCTTACCTGTGTGGGCATGCCTCCTTTGGACAAGGGTATATAAATCCTTGGAAAACATACATGGGTGATTTTTCCTGGGAACCCTCAGTCCCTAGGATTTGCCTTTCAAGACCTGCCTATGGGAGTTGATTGAGTTAGCCCAGCAAGGGGAGGGTGGCGCTTGGACACAAGGGAGGGCAGCTCCGTGCATGCTTATGGCATGTGTATACACTCACACCCATGGCCACCAAATATGCCTTACGTGATGTGTATTACTCTACTCAAAAAGGCGACAATCATGTTTTAGTTTATGTGAGTGACGCCCTCTGGAGTAGAGCACGACACTCAGCTGAAGATGGTGACTGCCCAAATATATACGTGAAGTTTAGATACAATGAAGAATTTCTAGTATGTTTGCCACTCCACCGCCATTCTCTAACCATCCTTTCGTGAGTATACTCTTACTTGCTGCATATTTAATGTGCTGATTTTGAGGCCTTTTTCTCTTCTGTCGGTAACAAATAATCTCACCAACATTTTCCTATTTATTTTCAAGTCATTAGGAATGGCATATTAAAAATGATTTGTTTTCCACCATTGTTAAAGGTCTCCACACCCTCTGTGCCCCAAACTTCCCAGTCCCTTGGTTCAGAGTTATTTAACTTAACACCAAAGCAACAGAGAGAACAAGGTAAACATGCAGAGAACTCAAGGGAAAGAGGTAGATCATTTAGGTGGTGCCAGGATTCATAGGGCAAAAACCTCATTTTCTCCACCATTCCTGGAGATTATACAGATCATTTATCTTGCCTGGAATCATTTCCAAGAAAGCAATTGGCTTATAACCTAGATATATCTTATTCTTCCTTCTCAGCCCTGGACTTTCTCAACATTTCCTGGAGTTCTTGTCTAGAGGATCTCTTTCAAACTTTTCATTTGGAGACACAGGCCTCCCAGGAATCTATTGTTTCCTTTAAATACTGAGGCTGAAGAAACGTGGAAGCAGGTAGGAGTAAGAGATCAACAGACCCCAAACTAGTTATATTTTAAGAGCTAGGGAGCCAAGTTAAACAAAAGACTGTAAAGAGAGAGGGAGGTGTACTGAATAAATTAAAGGAGTAGCTAAATTACTTGCCATGGAGCAAGAAGAAGGGAGAATATGGTGTGGGACATTTAATCTGGACATGTCCAAGTCTCCCGGCATTCAGGAACCTCCACAAGTGTCAATAGTCCAAAATGGCCCAAGTCTACATCTATACACAATAAATCAAACCTTAAACAAAAATATTTCTAAAATCAATTCTACCTCATAAATAAGTGAAACAATGCTCAATATCACTAATCATTAGGGAAATGCAACCAAAACCATAATGTGATACCACTTCACATTCATTAGAATCATTATTATCAACAAGCAAACAAACAGAAAATAACAAGTGTTGACAAGTGAAGAAATTATAACCCCGTGCATTGCTGGTAGGAAAGTAAAATGGCGCAGTCACTACAGAAAACACTATGGTTGTTCTTCAAAAAATTAAAGATAGAATTACCATATTTCAGCAATTCCAGTACTGGGTGTATACCCAAAAGAACTGAAATCCGTATTTCGAAGGGACACAGTGCCCCCATGTTCAAAGCAGCATTATTTATATAATAGACAGAAGGTAGAAGCAATACAAGTGTTCATCAACAGATAAAGTGATATGCAAACGTGATATATGCATACAAGGAAATGTTATTTGCCCTACAAAAGGAAATAGTTTTATTTTAAACTGGGCCTCCTTATATTGTTCAGGCTAGAATCTAACTCTTGGACTCAAGCAATTACCCGCCTCAGCCTCCTGAGTAGCTGGGACTACAGGCATGTGCCTCCATGTCCAGCTTAGAAATAAAATTCTGACACATGCTATAACATGGATCAACCTTGAAGACATTATGCTGAGTAAAATAAACCAGTCACAAAAGGACAAATACTGTATGATTTTTACTTCTATTCAGTCCCTGGAATAGGCAAACTAGTAGAGACAGAAAGTAGAATAAAGGTTACCAAAAGCTAGGAATGGGGGAGTCAGTGTTTAACGGTTACAGAGTTTTAGTTTGGGATAATGAATCATTTCTGGAGATGGATTGTCGTGATCATTGAACACCACTGTGAATTTACTTAATTTCACTGAATTTTACACTTAAAATGATTAAAATGGTAAATTTTATGTTATATACATTTTACAATTCAAAAAAATTAACCTCCAAATAATTCCAAATACTTCTGAAAATATAAGAACCCACCCCCAAAACAGATACCAAAACTAAAACAATCAGCAGTAAAGCAAAAAAAATACAACCACGAAGCGAAATAAAACCACTCTAAGTAGATACATGTTGTACGGCAATCCAGAGAAAGGTGGGTTTTCCTATTTTTTGATATGAGAACTGCTACTGTCTTAATGTCAACCAACAACCAGAACATTATTCTGGTTTTAACCCTCATAATAACGTAACCATGTAAAAATGGGATATACTTTAGCCTCAAACCTGGATGTGCTCCAGTAAATGAAAATAATTTAAGTATCTATATGTATGTTCAAAAATTTCAACCTGCTATCTAATTTTATAATACCCGATGGTTCAACCTCAAGGAGACATTAGTAGACAAACATAACCAGACATCGTGATGTCCTCTGATGAGGGCTGAAGATCCTGGATGCAAGTGCAGTGGACTCCAGTCCAGATCCTTTTCACCCTTCCAATGTGAGTACTTGTGTGTTTTGTCAGAGCCCCTTTGTTTTGTGATCAGGGCCATTATCAAAGCCTACATAAGGAACTGTGAGCTGACTCCAATGTTTAATACATTCTAGTGCTGGATTTAGAAGAAAAGAAACTAAGGGAGGGCAGTGAGTTGATGTAAAGAAGGGACACTAGAGAGTGGCTGCCTGGGTTCAAATACAAGCTCTGCTTCTTGAGAGCTGTGTGATCATAAGGCATTTATTAAAATTATTTTTCTTCTCTTTTCTCATTAGTAAAATGAGAGTGGATATAACATCTCCTACTTCATAAGGTTCTTGTAAAGATTCACTGAATTCCTGTGCATTAAGAGCTTACAATTCATCACATAAACAGAATAAAAACAAAAACTACATGAATGCTTCTACACTGTTGGTGGGAGTATAAATTAGTTCAACCATTGTGGAAGACAGTGTGGCGATTCCTCAAAGACCTAAAGACAGAAAGACCATTCAACCAAGCAATCCCATTACTGGGTATATTATACCCAAAAGAATATCAATTGTTCTATTATAAAGATACATGCACGAGTATGTTCACTGCAGCACTAGTCACAATGGCAAAGACATGGAATTCACTTAAATGCCCATAAATGATAGACTGGGTAAAGAAAATGTGGTACATATGCATCATGAAATACTATTCAGCCATAAACAAAGAATGAGATCATGTCCTTTACAGTGAAATAGATGGAGCTGGAGACTATTATCTTCAGCAAACTAGCACAGGACCGGACAACCAAGTATGGTATGTTCTCATGCATAAGTGGGAGCTAAATGATGAGAACACATGGACACATAGAGGGGAACAACTCACACTGGAGCCTATCAAAGGGTGGAAGGTGGGAGGAAGGGTAGGATCCGGAAAAATAACTAATGGATGCTAGACTTAATACCTGGGTGATAAAATAATCTGTACAACAACCCTGCATGACCCAAGTTTACCTATATAACAAACCTGCACATCCTGCACATGTACAACTGAACTTTAATGAAAGTTTAAAAAAAAGACCAGAAATAATTACTAAAAAAAAAAAAAAGAAAGAAAGAAATAAAAGGAGCTTTAATACCTGGGAGAATAAAATACTTTGGTCTTCAGCAGGGTAAGGATCTGAGAAGGGAGGGAACTGCTGGATGCCTAAGGGGAAAATCTTGAAGAGGAATGTCAATAGGTGATACGTTAAGAGATTTGCAGGTTATGGTTGGGAATAGGTTCTTACAAAAGAAAAAAATACTTTATAGATGACAGGAACACCATGAAGACACTGAAAGGCTTGTTACCATTTTGGTCAAGCAACTTTGTCAAAAGGGATCTGAATCCCAGAAGAAACTCAATAGAAAGTTTTTCCTCAGACTTTCAGTTTCTAGGTCTCACATCTGATAATTAATTTAGAGATTTACCTGAGCTAGTCCAGAACAGGGAGGGTGTCAGCAGAAATGTCTGCACTCTGGGGAAAGTATTATACTGTCTGTAACTTAACATCCCCCATGTATCCACCGTGCCATGTCAGATGATGGAAATACCATGTGTTACTCTACTCACAGAGGTGTCAATCATATCTAATTACACATGATTGCCTCCCTCTTGAGAAGAGTACCACATGAAGAATAGAACATTTAAGGATGGCAGCTCAGCCTGATCATTGACTCATGCACCTTTCTTTTTATATTTTAAAATACGTAATTGATAAACAAAATTTGTATGTATTCAAGGTGTGCAATGTGGTGATTATATATATATACACTGTGTACTGATTACCATAGTAAAATGAATTAACACATCATTCACCACCCTTAGTTACCATTTGTGTGTGTTGTGGGGGTGTGGTGAGGACACTTAAAATCTGCTCTCTTATCAAATTTCCAGTAAACAATACAGCATTATTAAATATAGTCACCATGCTATACATTAGATAGTCAGAGCTTATTTATCACATAACTCAAAGTTTGTACTCTTTGACCAACATGCATCTTTCAAAAACACGTCACTGTTTTCAATCTGAATGGTGACTGGTGTGCATACGAAGGGCCTCTGTAACATGCACTACCCTGTCTTTCTTCATCCATCCTTTCCTGTGTTGTCCAATCATGGTTTGGAGTTATGATATGGCAATTTTCAGAACTATGAACCATTAAGCTTTTCTGATAGATTCTCATGTGCATGGAAGAAAAATCCTTGCATATCTTATCCTGTTTATTTTTCCATTATTATAAAGAGTTAGCAGTTTACATTCCTCAGGTCTAGTAGTTAATAGGAAAATATACTCTATGTCATCTATGCTTGTCACCTGAAGATGAGTCCCTCTACCTGAGTTACGTCGCTCAACTCCTGAACCACAGAATAAGCAGGGAAAACACACAACATTCTAGGATAGGATGGTAATCACTGGTCGGTGTGATGGAGAGTAATGTCTGTTTCTCCTTAAACCTAGGGCAAAAATAAAAATATTTTACTTACCAGGAATGAACTGCAACACAGAAAACGTTCTTGGCATCTATGGATGCCATTCACCTTCTTCCAGTTTGTGAGATTTCTGAGTCTTTCCCTTGAGCATGGTCTTTTCAAGCATTTTTGTTTGCATTTTTCTCCATTTGGAAACATGCAACTGTGTGTCTTCATTTTCCTGGATGAACTAAATCTGGGAGACCAAAATATAGTAACACAAATATGGTAAATGGATATCAGAGAATTGAGATGGAAGAAAGAGGTGATTGTAAGTAGCCTAAAATGTGAAATTGCTACCAGTCAAAAATTATGGTATCTTAATGGAAGAAACAAGTTCCCAGCCTTTCTCATGTACCCTACCCCTGAAATGTTGTGTTGTGTTGCTGTGGCTAAGCAACAGGTGCAGCTGTTAGGGACACTGTTTCTACACTCAGCTCACTTTTGTAGGGTGGAGGCTTTACTGTGGTTTTGGCAAGTTGAGAATATGGGGTCTCTGATCATCTTCATCCCAGAATGATTATAAGACAGAGTTTCAACCCTGGAATGAGCAGGCTGAGAAGACCAAAATGTACGACTACCAATCTTCACTCTATACATAAAGCAGGAGTGTTGTGAAAGAAGCAGGTCACTGCACCTACCCAAAGCTTCAGAGCAGTGAGTCAGAAATTCTTTTTCCCAGTGTGAGGAGTTTGAATAAAAGATGGTATTATAGCTCTCCTAAAAATAATATGACTTCATAGCAGAGTCAGGGAAAGCTCAGGCTTCACGGTGGTCCAGATAACAACACAGATTTTGGAGGTAAGTAAATAAGATGGATTTGGCAGCTGTATGAGAGCAACAAGCTAAACCACAGGCCAGCTTATTTACCAGAGAGTATCCGATAAACTGACAGCTAATAAGAGCCTTCCTGTATCAGAACAAACATGAAAGACTTACCTTTAAAACAATGTGTTCAAAGTGGCTCAAATTATTTTGATCAAACTCTGATACATTTTTCCTTTAAAATTCCAAAAAAGATAGAGAAAATCAGCACTGAATGAGAAAACCAAACATCTCTGTGTGATACACAGAAACCACTAGCTGGACAGAGAGATCAGGAAAAGAAACAAAAAGAATGCTACTGAAACCACTGTCATCTTTGAGTTACTATGTGCATACATAGGCTGTGCTCTCTAAAGAACAGTATAAGAAAATTCACAGCAGATAAGTAAATAAACTCCAGCCAATTCAATAAACAAATTAAAAACAGACAACAACAACAATAAAAGCCGGGAGTGGTGGCTCACGTCTGTAATCCCAGCACTTTGGGAGGCTGAGGTGGGTAGATCACGAGGTCGGGAGATCGAGACCATCCTGGCTAACACGGTGAAACCCCGTCTCTACTAAAAATATAAAAATTAGCCGGGCGTGGTGGCAGGCGCCTGTAGTCCCAGCTACTCAGGAGGCTGAGGCAGGAGAATCGCTTGAACCCAGGAGGCAGAGGTTGCAGTGAGCCGCGATCACGCCACTGCATTCCAACCTGGGCAACAGAGCAAGACTCCATCTCAAAAATAAAACAAAGAAACAAAAATATAATTCCTCAGAGGAAATGGTTATTATCCAGAATACACTATTTGATCTTAACTGTCCTGTTTTACAGAAAATCATAATATGTGCAAAAAAAAAGGTAATGTAATCTTTACAGACAACAAAAATATGTGACAGAAAATGCCCATGTGAGGGCACAGAAGTCATACTAATAGATAAAGCCTTTATCGCAGCAATTAAAGACTTCGAAGAAATAAAAAAAAAATTAGATGTAAAGGAAGTTAGGACGGCAATGTCTCACTGAAAGTTTACAATAATGAAAATGTAGAAAACACTTTTTTCTTTTTTTGATATGGTGTCTCCTCTGTCACCCAGGCTGGAGTGCAATGGTGCAATCTCGACTCACTACAACCTCCACCTCCCGGATTCCAGTGATTCTCCTGTCTCAGCCTCCCAAGTAGCTAGGACTACAGGCACCTACCATCATACCCAGCTAATTTTTGTATTTTTGTAGAGATGGGGGTTTCACTATGTTGGCCAGGCTGGTCTTGAACTCCTGACCTCAGGTGATCTGCCTGCCTCGGCCTCCCAAAGTGCTGGGGAAAACATTTATTAAAAAGAAAAATATGGATTTTAAAAGTACAACAGCTTAAATAAAAAATCAATAGAGAATCTCAACAGTATATTTCAAGTATCAGAATAAATAATATAACAAATTGCACATTAATAGTACTAATGCCTTATGAAGAATGCAGAAGAAAATGAATAAGGAAAAATGAACAGAGCATCAAGGAGGTAAAAGAACAGAAAGGGCAAAAGATCTTCGTTATGGAATTACCAGAATCAGAAGAGAGAGTAAAGGAAAAAGAAATCTGCCCAAATAGATATTCTTAGGAAGGAACACTTCCTAAATTTGATGAAAAATGTTACACATTGAAGAAGTACAACAAATTTCAAGTACAACAGATACAAAGAAACTCAGATTAACAGACATTATATGCAATCTGTTGATACCTATGAAAAATAGTTATTATTGACAGCTGCAGGAGAAAAGCAACTCATTGCATGCAGTAATTTTTGTAAGATTAATAGCTGACTTTTCACAAGAAAGTATACAGGCCAGAAAGCAGTGGGAGGTTATATTCAACATGCTAAAACAAAAACAGTCAAACAAGAATAATATATTTAAGGCTAACAGCTGTTTACTATGGTACTAAAAGCACAACTCGTAACATAAAAAATCAATAAATTGCATTTTATTAAAATTGAAAATGCTTGCTTTGTATGAAACAGTTAAGAGAATGAAAAACCAGATTGTGGATTGAGATATGTATGCAAATCACATTTTTAAAGGAGTTGTATTCAGAACATATAAGAACTCTTAAATATCATTAATAATAACTCAGTGCAATAAAATTTGTAAACATTCCTCAATGGATACTTCATTAAGAAGATGTATGAATGACAAATAAATATATTAAGAGACACTCAATACTTGTGGTCAACATGAATGTGCAAATTAAAACTACAATGACAAAAATCTATACAAATATTACAATGGCTAATAAAAACACAAAACAACACAAAAATTGCCAACAAAATACACTGATAAGAATATGAGTAACTGGAGATGTTAGACATTTTTCATGGCAGCAAAAAATGTTAAAGCAGTTCTGGAATAAGTTATTTTTCTACTGCTTTTAAATTTAAAATTACATTTACCATAAGACCTGCAAGTTACACTGCTGACTACTTGTGCAAGTAAAATAAAACTTGTATTTATACACATATCTGTGTGCAACTGTGCATGGTACAATTATTTGTAATGTCCAACAAGTTGAAAAAAAGATTGTCCATCACCTGACTTGTACCCAACTCAGTAATAAAAACACTGACGCAATTGAGTCTTGTTGCTTTTTCTTGCTTTCTCTCTCCCCGTTTCTCTCTCTCTTTTTTTTTCAATCACTCTCACTCATCACAGTGTTAGGAAATGACACTGTGTGAAAAATAAAGGGAAAATGAAAGACATGTAAGTTAAAATAAATAGTAATAGCAAAACAAAATGAAATAAATCAGAGAGTACAAGTTTCTGTGTGCTATGTACAACCTCTTATAAATTGGTGGCTTATAAAGGATTCAAATGCTTTTCAAAGAATGAGTACTTCTTCAGCCAATGAAGAAAAAAAATGAGCTTTTATATTTAAGACAGAAAATATGTTGTCAGCAGGTTGGGATCTGAGTAGTAGAAGGGGATTTGGAAAGGCCTAAAAAGAAGGCTTGAAAATGAGGAGGGGGAATGATAAATAATAACTTGTAAACTGATATAAGCATCAAGAAAGAAAAAGGTTCTGTAAAACTTAATACTCTGTAGCAGAGAATAAAAACATAGCCACACTGAAAACCTGGTTTTCGTTTTCGTCAGGCAACTTCACAAAAATAGATAGAAATGCCAGGATAAAATATCCCGGGAAAAAATAAAAACAAGAAAAGGCGTTTTTCCAGGACCTTTAGTTCCTAGGATTTGCCTCTGCAAATTTACATAAGATGATTCCATGAGATAGTCCAGCAAGGTGGGGGAGGTGTGTGAACAGCATAGATGTACTCCATGGAAAACAGCTCTCTGCATGCAACTAATCTTCCCTCAAGTGCACCCATAGTTATATTACATGTGCTGCATATGTCATGCGTTACACTACTCGTAGAGGTTTCAATCATATGTGATTACCATATGTGATTGCTACTCTCTCGAGTAAGGTACCACAGACAGCATGTCTAAGGATGGAAGTCCTGCTTAAACACCCATTCATGTACCTTTTTAAAAGCTACTCAATGTTTTCAGGCTGTGAGTGGCTACCAGTATTGGTTCAAAGTACCTCTACAGTGAACACTCCACTGTTTTTTTCCTCATCCATTCTTCCCTGAAATGTTATCCACTCGTGTGTTGAAGTTTTCACATGGTAGTTTTCAGAACTGAGGAGCAATAAGCCTCTTTTTTGTTTGTTTGTTTGTTTGAGATGAAGTCTCACTCTGTTGCCCAGGCTCGAGTGTGGTGGTGCAATCTTGGCCCACAGCAACTTCCACTTCCCAGGTTCAAGCAATTCTCCTGCCTCAGCCTCCCGAGTGGCTGGGATTACAGGCACCCACCACCACACCCAGCTAATTTTTGTATTTTTAGTAGAGACTAGGTTTCACTATGTTGGCTAGGCTGGTTTCGAACTCCTGACCTCAAGTGATCCACCCGCCTTGGCCTCCCAAAGTGCTGGAATCATTAAGCCTTTCTCTTATGTTCTCTTGCATATATAAGAGGTACCCCTGAGTGTCTTGTCCTGATTTTTTTTCCATTATTATATATAAAGCATTAACAAATCATTTGTCTTCTTTAGATCCAATAATTAAGCAGTAAATATACTGCATCTCACCACTCTTGCCTTGTCACCCAAAGATCTGAGTCCTTTTATCCGAGTTATGTTCCTCAATTTCTGAATCACAGAATGAGCAGATAAAAAAGACCAGATTGGCTGGGCGCGGTGGCTCACGCCTGTAATCCCAGCACTTTGGGAGGCCGAGGCGGGTGGATCATGAGGTCAGGAGATCAAGACCATACTGGCTAACATGGTGAAACCCCATCTCTACATACAAAAAAATTAGTGTGGTGGCGGGCGCCTGTAGTCCCAGCTGCTGGGGAGGCTGAGGCAGGAGAATGGTGTGAATCCAGGAGGCGGAGTTTGCAGTGAGCCGAGATCATGCCACTGCACTCCAGCCTGGGTGACAGAGTAACACTCCGTCTCAAAAAAAAAAAAAAAAAAAACCAGATCAACTAAGTAAATAACAAGATAATAATCAGTATAATCAGTAGGTTCAGTAGCTAGTGGAATGGAAAGAGTAAAAATTCATTTTTCTTTCCAGACTCGGGAATTGAAAAAGCTCATTTTACATACCAGGAGTGATCAACGAGACAGAAAATGGTCTTGGTATCTTGGGATGTTCTTATATTTCTTTTTGTTCCTCTTATGTTCCTGAGTTTTCTGAGCATTTTCCTGGAACAAGATAGTTTACAGTTGTTTTTTTGTTTGTTTGTTTGTTTGGTTGGTTTTTTACCCTTTTCCATTGAGTAACATAGCATGAGAAGGGCCTCAGAAAGGTGAAACGCCAGAGTCATACTAAAATATGCCTAATGGAAATAGCATCAGGAAAGGAGAGAGAAAACCAGAAAAAAATAGTGTTGAAAGATATAATGCTAAAAACTTCAACTTTCATAAAAACATAAATTTATACATCAGAAAAGTGAGATAAACATGAAGATATCCAGAGTTAAAGACATTGTATTCAATCTGTTAATGGAGAGAGAGACAGAGAGAGAAAGAGAATGTGTACAAGAAAGAATACCTTTACAGCTGCAAGAGAAAGGGAGCATATGTCATACAAGTGATTCTTCCAAGATTTAACGCTGACTTTTTTTGAGAAACCATGGAAGCTAGAATCAGTTGTAGAACATATTCAAAATGCTGAAAGAAAAACATAGTTAACCATGAATCTCACGTCTAAGGCTAAAAGTTGTTAGATGCAGCATTAAAAGCATAACACATAAATTGAAAAACTGATAAGTTGTACTTTATCAAAATTGAAAACATTTGCTCTGCACAAAATACTGTTGAAAATAAAAAAAAAACCAAAACAGATTGAGAGATAATATATGTAAATAATAATCCTGGCCAAGAAATTGTATGCAGTATACCTATATATCTCTATCTACATGTATATAGTAAACCTCAAAAATAAGTGAACAACTCAATAAAGGTGAGAAAAATCCCAAAGGCACTTCATCAAAGAAGATACATGAATGATAAGTAAGTACATGTACAGGTGCTCAACATTTTCAGTCGATAAGGTGATGCAAATTAAAACCACAACTGACAAGGGAACTATACACATATTAAAACTGCTAATAAAAAACAAAACAAAAGCTTCTCAATACAAAATGCTGACGAGGAGTTGGGTAACTGGATCACTAATACATTGCTTAAAGCAGCACAAAATGGTAAAACCATTCTGGAAATTATTTTTAATTAATTAGAAATTTAAACTTACACTTGCCACATGACCTTCAAATCCTACTAGTAGCAATTTACACAAGGAAAATGAAACTTGTGTTCATATATACATCTGTATGCAAATATAAAAAGTAGCTTTATTTATAGCCATGAATAACTGGAATAAAACCTAGATGTCCACCTGTGACTTCTACCCTACTTGATTTAAAAAAAAAAAAAAAAAAGATTATTCTTGTTCTTGATCTTACCCTAATTCTGACTCTCATTCTCTCCTTTCCCCATTTTCTGCTTCCATCCACCCTCCCTCATCACTGAATCAGAAAGAAATACCATAAAGGAAGTAAATTAAAAACTAGAGATACAAAAATGTTTTTAAATGCAAAAAAAAATCAAACAATAAAAATTTCTCAGTATAATTCACAACTCCTGATATATTAGTTACTAATAATAGATTAAAATATATTTACAAAAGAACGAATATGTACTTTATTAGCACATGAAGAAACAGAACATTTTATATCTGAGATAGAAAATATTTTGTTTTTCTGAAGGTTAAGTGTTTAAGAAGCAGGAGGGAATTTGGGAAGGCTTAAGAAGACTTGAAAATGAGAAAGGAAGCTAACAGTTAACAGATTGGGATGTTGGAGTAGGAAATAGTTTCTGCAAAATGAATAACACTCTTAAGGCAGAAAGAAACTACATAATGGCAAGATAAACCTTGATTCAATCAGGCAACATTATAGAAATAGAAATCAATCTCAGAAGAACTCAATGGGAGGCTTTTTGCGAGGACCTTAAATTCCTAGATCACGCCTCTGATCAGGCACCTGAGAGAGTTTTCTGAGGTAGTCCAGCATGGAAGTGGAGGGTTTGCGAGGGGAAAATACCTGCACTGTAAGGAAAGCATCCCTCTGCATGCAACTAAATGCCTCTAACACACACATAGTGTCATCATGTATGTTGCATGTGTCATGCATTACTCTACCCACAGACATACCAATCATTTTTAACTATACATAATTGCCACTGCCTGCAGTAGGGTACCACACACAACATGTCTGAGGATGGCAGTTTTGCTTTAATACCCACCCATTCACCTTTAAAACAACCACTCAATATTTACAAGCTGTGAGTGGCCATTGGAATTTGGACAAAGGACTTCTATAGCATCCAATCCACTATCTTTCCTTATATTTCCCGCTTTGAGTGCCGTCCACTCCCATGCTGCAGCTTTCACCTGACAGTTTTCAGAACTGAGAAATAGTAAACATTTCTGTTAGGTCTGTTACTTACAGAAGAAATATCCTTGCATGTCTTATCCTGTTCCTTACAATAGATTAAAATATATTTGCAAAAAAATGAATATGTACTTTATTAGCACATGAGGAAAGAGGACTTTTTATATCTGAGATAGAAAATATTTTGTTTTTCTGAAGGTTAAGTGTTTAAGAAGCAGGAGGGAATTTTGGAAGGCTTAAGAAGACTTGAAAATGAGAAAGGAAGCTAACAGTTAACAGATTGGGATGTTGGAGTAGGAAATAGTTTCTGCAAAATGAATAACACTCTTAAGGCAGAAAGAAACTACATAATGGCAAGATAAACCTTGATTCAATCAGGCAACATTATAGAAATAGAAATCAATCTCAGAAGAACTCAATGGGAGGCTTTTTGCGAGGACCTTAAATTCCTAGATCACGCCTCTGATCAGGCACCTGAGAGAGTTTTCTGAGGTAGTCCAGCATGGAAGTGGAGGGTTTGCGAGGGGAAAATACCTGCACTGTAAGGAAAGCATCCCTCTGCATGCAACTAAATGCCTCTAACACACACACAGTGTCATCATGTATGTTGCATGTGTCATGCATTACTCTACCCACAGACATACCAATCATTTTTAACTATACATGATTGCCACTGCCTGTAGTAGGGTACCACACACAGCATGTCTGAGGATGGCAGTTTTGCTTTAATACCCACCCATTCACCTTTGAAACAACCATTCAGTATTTACAAGCTGTGAGTGGCCATTGGAATTTGGACAAAGGACTTCTATAGCATCCAATCCACTATCTTTCCTTATATTTCCCGCTTTGAGTGCCGTCCACTCCCATGCTGCAGCTTTCACCTGACAGTTTTCAGAACTGAGAAATATTAAACATTTCTGCTAGGTTCTGTTACCCACAGAAGAAATATCCTTGCATGTCTTATCCTGTCCCTTTTCACATTGCTACTTGCAAAGCATTTACTACCAGTTTGCATTCTTTAAATCCATTAATTAAGTAGTAAATAATCCTCCATCTCATCAATCTCATATCAGGTGTGTCCCCACCTAAATTTCATCTCGTAGCTCCCATGATTCCCAGGTGTTGTGGGAGGGACCCAGTGGAAGATGATTGAATCATGGGGGCAGGTCTTTCCTGTGCTGTTCTCATAATAGTGACTAAGTCTCATGAGATCTGATGGTTTTAAATATGGGAGTTTTCCTGCACAAGCTCTTTATCTTTCCTTGTAACCATCCACGTAAGATGTAACATGCTCCTCCTTGCCTTCTAACATGATTGTGAGGCTTCCCCACCCACATGGAACTGTGAGCTCTCCATTAAACCTCTTTCCTTTGTAAATTGCCCAGTGTTGGATATGTCTTTATCAGCAATGTGAAAACGGACTAATACAGTAAATTCGTACCAGTAGAGTGGGACACAGCTGGAAAGATACCTGAAAATGTGGAAGCGAGTTTCGAACTGGGTAACAGGCATGGGTTGAAACACTTTGGAGAGCTAAGAAGACAGGAAAATGTGGGAAAGTTTGGAACTCCCTAGAGACTTGTTGAATGGCTTTGCCCAAAATGTTGACAATGATATGGACAATGAAATCCAGGTTGAGGTAGTCTCAGATGGAGATGAGGAACTTGTTGGAAACTGGAAAAAAAGGTGACTCTTGTTATGTTTTAGCAAAGAGACTGACAGAATCTTGCACCTGCCCTAGAGATCTGTGGAACTTTGAACTTGAGAGAGATGATTTAGGGTATCTGGCAGAAGAAATTTCTAAGCAGCAAAGCATTCAAGAGGTAACTTGCATACAGTTAAAGGCATTCCATTTTATAAGGGAGGCAGAGCATAAAAGTTTGGAAAATTTGCAGCCAGACAATGCAATAGAAAAGGAAAACCCACTTTCTGAGGAAAATCCAAGCCATCTGCAGATAATTGCATAAGTAATGAGGAGCCAAATGTTAATCCCCAAGACAATGGGGGAAGTATCTCCATGGCATGCCAGAGGTCTTTGTGGCAGCCCCTCCCATCACAGGCCTGGAGGCCTAAGGGGAAAAAGTGGTTTTGTGGGCCAGGCCCAGGTTTCCTATGCTATGTGCAGTCCAGCGACTTGGTGCCCTGCATCCCATCCACTCCAACTGTGGCAAAAAGGGGTCAAGGTATAGATCAGGCCGTGGCTTTGGAGGGTGCAAGCCCCAAGCCTTGGCAGCTTCCATAAGCTGTTGAGCCTGTGGGTTCACAGAAGTCAAGAATTGAGGTTTGGGAAACTCCACCTAGATTTCAGAGGATGAATAGAAATGCCTGGATCTACAGGCAGAAGTTTGCTGCAGAGGCAGGCCTCTCACAGAGAACCTCTGCTATGGCAGTGCAGAAGAGAAATGTGGGATCACAGCCCTGACACAGAGTCCCTACTGAGAACTGCCTAGTAGAGCTATGAGAGGAAGGCCACCATCCTCCAGACCCCAGAATGGTAGATTCACTGACAGCTTGCACTGTGTCCCTGGAAAAGTGACAGACACTCAACACTGGCCCATGAAGACAACCAAGAAGGAGGCTGTACCCTGCAAAGCCATAGGGGTGGAGCTGCCCAAGGCTGTGGAAACCCACCTCTTGCATCAGCATGACCTAGATGTGAGAAATGGAGTCAAAGAAGATCATTTGGGAGCTTTAAGATTTGACTGCCCCTCTGGATTTTGGACTTGCATGGAGCCTGTAACCCCT